CGATTGGCTCCGTATTTTGTGGCATTCATGTGGACGGCAAAGTAAGAATTTCATTGTACAGGTAAACACGTTTCCTAACTGTGCATATGACAAAATAAACACTTTGAACCTGTTGGTGTTGGGCCTCTTCCTTGCTTTGGTGAAGGCCCACTTAGGGTATCCACAAGCCCAGGGAGTTCTGGATGTGTAATTTCTCCTTCTTAGCCCCTTCTGCAGTTGTGGGCACTTCCTCTGCCCTGTGATTTAGAGTTCTGATGACTCCCAATTTGTGTTGAAGTGGATGGTGTGAGTCAAAAGTTGACATTTGCTCATACTTTGTGCTCTCAAAGACAAAGAAATTTAAAATCCATATTTAAATTTGATAGTAAGAAGTGCTGTCTGTGTGTGTTTTTTCTCCAGGAGGAGCTGGAGTCCATGGCTCTCAGTGACATCCTGGAGCTAAAGGCTGTGCTGAATGCTGGAGTGTTTAACTCCCTGCTCACCGTGTCAGTACAGCCCAGGAGAAACAAGACGGCCGCTGTCTTCCTGTTCCAATGTGAGGATATCAGGGTGAGGACCAACCTGTGGAAACATCTATTATTGTGACTAATAATGGAAATAAATGATGATGAATGTTTCCTTATTTACAGGCCGACTACATTCAAAAGGATCTCACACGGGCACTGACATGCAGAAGAGAGGACCCACACATCAGGTAAGAGCATATAGTAATGTCACTGAGCACATACAGTACTTGAAGCTTTACTGATTATGTATCTGTTTGATGCAGTGGCTCAGGACTTATAGCTGAACCTAAACAACCAAGGTCTCCAGTTCATGCAGTGCCTCAATGGGTTGCTCCCGACTACGGTGAGGCTTTAACGGGATGCACACAGCTGGTGTGCCGATCATTAATGATGGAGTCTAAACCAATACAAATCTTTCCATTCTTTTTCTCTTGTACATATAGACGAGGATGACATGACTGAGCCTGAACTGGAGGAGGCTTCACCTCCCAGACAGGAGACACCATCACCACAGCGCCCCAGCACCGAAGCAGAACGCCCCTACACAGAACTGGACAGGAACGTGGTGTGTGTCCAGACAGGAAATGTGAAAACTACATTCAATGCATGTTTGTTACATGATTTGGTTCTTGGCCATCGGAAACAGGATACATGTTTAGAGAAGAAGGATATAAGTTTTTCTTTTGCCCTTTTTTACAGGATATCTTGAATCACGTTTTAAGCGACATTGAAATCTTCATGGGACAAATAGCTGCAGTTGTTGCTAAAACTGCAAAGAAAAAGATGAAGAAGAAGAAGAAGAAAGGAAAAGGTAATTTCATGAAGAAAGTGAAGGCAGACATACTGTACATGTAGGATATCTCTAAATGACGGTACATACACTGGAATATTATATTGGGCAAAATGTGTGTTTTGATGCCATCATAACATATTCATTTAAATTTTTTAAACAATATTTGTAGTTATGGCTGGCATGCCCTCTGCAGAAGAGTTTTCAATATGTCTCCGAAAGATCAAATATGGTTTCAACCTTCTGGTATGTGTTGGTGATTATATTTACATACTATCATCACAGTTGTAGTGTGAGTATTGCTGCTTCATGTTATGTATGAAAATGTCTTCGTTCTGACAGGGGGAACTCAATGGACAGATTAAAAATCCCAGTGCACCTGAATTTGTTCACTCCCTCTTCTCTGCATTAGCATTTGTAAGCCAATTTATCTTTTTTTGGATAACTATATGTTATATTGCATCAGTTTATAATCACTATTAGAAATTTCAGAATGCAGTAATAACCCAGTTCCCACACATTTGTTATTGTACATCTTCATATGAAGAGGTCTGTCAGAATGTATTGCCATGTTATGGAAGTCTTGATGTTTTAATTCGCAACTTAACTGATCCTTATGAATGTATTTTATATACTTAGTCCTACATGTGGTTTAATATGTACAGTATATTCTGTAGATATAATCTATAATTCAGGATTTTTCTTATAATTAATGTATGTGTATATATCCAAAGTGCATGTTTAATTGGTTGACCACAGTGTCTGCATTGTGTGCCTACTGTACCCTTTTCTTTTAAATATGCAGCTTTCACCTGGCCCATTACAGGGCTGGCTGTGCATGTGACTACCAGCTTGTACTTATTTTAGTAACAAGACTGATTATCATGTTCCTCACCAGGTGGTATCTCACTGTCCTAAGGACCTGCCACCAACCACAGTGGCGCCACTGCTGACACCTCAGAGTATCCGTCTCATGAGTGAAGAGGCGGAGGCGGAGGAGGACCAGCTATGGCAGTCTCTGGGGGATGCCTGGAACATCCCCAGGTGAGTCACTGGACAGTATCGCACCTAATAAGCTTCTGCTTTTATTTTCTGCATGAAATAAAATCTCATTACACTTCAGCTTGAGTTTGACTTTTTTTTTTCTTTTTACTTTAGGGTTAAGTGTGTCAGACTTGCGTGCATGTGAAATAGTGTCAGCATAATGATCAGGTATTTTAAAATGTACAGCACACAATGGCCAGAGGATGACGAGGACATCCCAACATACACTCCGCAGTTCTTTGACGGCTGGCAACCCCCTGAACTAACTCCAGTACCTGCATACAGTGAGCCTGCGAGCAGACAGGAGTCTCCACAGCATCAACCCCCACAACATAAACCAAGCCAGGTACATCTTCACATCAAACACTGAGACTGACATGAGCACAGAAGGGCATATGTTAAAAATGCATAATGAGGGCAATTACTTTTTCTGTGCAGACATTTTGGGCACCACCACAACCCCCAGAAAAAGCACGGTATGCACAAACACACAGTGCAATTCAGCAGACTGAACATTTTAAAGCTCAGAGCTCTAAGTTTTTGAAGTGTTTGTTCAGCTCAGGTCAGTCAAAACTGCGCTGCATGCGTGTCATGGATGACTTCATTTCAAGAAATCACAGCGAGCTTACTGTCAGGAAAGGAGAAATAGTAGAGGTGAGTATCAGTGACATGAACAAACTACTTTTTTTGTTCTTTTCTCTATTGTCATTTTGTATCCAGTGTCAGTCAAATAGAAACCCCCAGAATTCTTCAGTACCATGTCTGTGCTTTGTCCATCTACAGCTCCTGGACATGTCAAGGCAGTGGTGGAAAGTGAGGAACAGCAGGAGGGAGGAGGGCTTCATACCCAATAATGTCCTGGAGGCCGTTGATGAACAACCTAGTGTGGTACGTACCATGCAGCAACAATACTAGAACAGCACAGGATCAATGAAAAACCTCAAGTTGAAAAAGTCAGTAATCCTGGAATTGGCAGAGAATGACAAGGTTCTCTTAAAAAAAAAAAAAAATCTGACAGTTTCACCATCCACACACAGGGTGAAAAGGATGCGAGTCTCAAAACTTGGTTTTAAACTACATCTCAGTGAATGGAGAAGCTACTCCTTATTCAGTCTACTTGCGTGTAGTGGTTTGTTGGATGTTTAACTGCATAACCTGGAGCACAAGTCACCACTTCAGAAGAAATGGTTGGAAAAAAAAGAGTCACATATGCAAAAAATATGCAAATGAAAAAAAAAAAGATTTCAAAATGGAGCTAAATACATTTGGAAGCTTTATTTAACTGCATTGTTTGCAAACCTAAAGACAACTCTACAACATTGTACAGTATATTTAGGCTGATGGCATCATCATAATACTCTAATGAATATAAGCAAAATCACAGGGCGTTATTGTTCCCTTTGCTCAGCAAACCATAGGTTCTCCTGTCCTGACAAAGACGTCCAAACCTGTGGAAGTTAAAGCCTGGCTGGAAGACGAGGGATTTACTAAAATGTAAGTACATTCAGTTTAATTTATTATTAAAATAGCTAATGGAAGCAATGCAATTGCTAATGCAAATACTGTACTGTCACTATACTCTGAAGTCTGTTATAGAAGAACTGTTTCCGGTGTCAAAATAAAAAACAGGCTGTTAACTGTTAATCAGCATTTTTATGTTATGGCAAACTCAAGCCTCTCTTTTAAAAAAAAAAATCTTTTAGCTGTGATTATTCATTTATACCGAGTAAGTTCTGATTAGGACCATGTGCCAATGACTCCTGCCCCCTTTTGGTTGAGTGGTGCATCACATCTGCCAAGACACTGAGCAGCTACTGCTATTTGTACATAAATTACTTGCATTTACCTCGTTTGCCTCGAATCTGAAATGGCCCCTACTCAGCCTTAACAAACAATATCATATTTTAAAGGTTTGAGAGACCTAGATGAAAATTACCCTGATGGTGTCTTGGGTCTACTTTGACTTGAGAAATAGGTGTGGAGTTTGAATGACATGCATTACAGTTTGGTTAAGTAGAAACACTTACTGCCAGAATAAACCCCAGTATTACTTATCTACTGCAGCACTGTGCGCTGTCTGGGCGTGCTGAGCGGCTCTATGCTCCTGGGGATGAGCAGAGAAGAGCTGAAGATAGTGTGTCCAGAGGAAGGAGGCCGAGTCTTCTTACAGTTACAAGCTGTCAAGTCCACTATGGCGGTAAGTGAGAGACCACAGAGCAGTTTCATCTGTCTCCACTGTCGGTGTGGAGATTTATCATCACACTGATAAATGCTGCTGTAAACACAGATGCCTCTGTTTGATTTGTGCTTTAACACTGTAGGCTGGCAGCTGAGCGAGACCAACAAGAGGATGTCTAGGAGGAAGAACAAGCCATGGACTAAAACAGGTCATCAATAGTTAGTTGTAAATGTGAGAATAAGTCATCAATTAAATATATAGTCTCCTGTGAAACATTTTATGCTGATCACAAGAAATGTTATACTGTGATACGTTGTTAAGCACAGTACAATGATTCGGTGAATAAACATGCTTTATTTCATTGTTCAGACATTACACGAGTCTCATCAGAAGCATCTGAATCTGTGAAACACTGGCGATCAATTTCAGGCAGTAATATGGCTAATGGACAAAATGAAAATTGTCAAACAAAATAGTGACCCGACTGTGTAACGAAGGAAAAACAACTGAACAAAAGGTATCTTGAATGTGAGCATCACAATACTTGTAGTTAATGAATGCAAGCTGAACATCAACAGAAAACATTCATACAGATGGTGTTAACACCTACATAATCACTGTGTTGTTGTTGAGAACAATCAACAGTATCTCTGCTGTTTCTGCTTTTCTTTTCTCTTGAGGTAGGGTGCACTATGCTGTAAATGCACAGACAAGAGACTGTGATGACTGTAAAACAAGAAGCAGACATATATTAACTAAACAACCAGCTGTAAAACTGAATGAATCGATGGTTCAGGTCAGCCCGTGTTCTAAATGTTTCAGTCATAACGTGTGGCAGCAGGGTACACAAAACTGTAGTTCCAAAATTAACATTATTAAAAAGATGTTACACAGTAGTCAACAAGATGGTTGCTAAACAAAACTAGTAGAAGGTCAATAACAAAATGAAGCTGCATTAATTTAACAGAAATATATTTTGCACTTCAGCCTGTGGACATGAGTCAATGTAGAGCAAGGTCCATCAGTAGTTAGAGATTAAAGTTACACCAGATAAGATTAATTCTACTGATGTTTTGTGCGTGTGTGTGTGTGTGTGTGTGTGGAGGGGTCAGTAGCTCACTGGCTGCTGTGGAGACAAGAGGTAAGAAGTAGCAATCTTGTGCTGTACCTTTCTATCATGGATGTTACAGGTGTACTGAAGTAATGAGAGCTCCCAGGAATAAGAACTAAAACAGCTACTGTAATATTAAACAGAATAGGCACTAAAACACTGTTCAATTAAAGAGGCTAACAACAAGAAAACCACACTGAAAAACTATTTTATGACCTAAGCAACAAGTCTTGACATCAACACAGTGTGAATATAAAACTTCTTATCTCTGCATCACCTTTACAAAAATACACTTTATACATGAAGTCCAACAATCACACAAATTCCCCCAAGTTCAGAGCCGAACTCCGGTACGAAGCTACCATACACTCACTGAACAAACAAGGATTCTCATCTTTTATCCCAAACATCTTCTAAAGCAAACGTGTATATATCCTAAATCAGGTTATCTCAATTAAAGCTGATATTTTGATTCATTTTCTTCTAGTCTTAGCGCTAAATGTTACTGGATAGTACAATCTACATGTAATTAAGCTAAGCTTGATGGGAAGTTGGACTGAGGCCAGAGTCCTGTGATAACACGAGTGTACAATACAAAAAGCTGAGGCTTGTGATGCCAGGTTGAATCTGAGATATATATATATATATATTTTTTATTATAATTAAAGCACAATGCTACCACGTGGGCCACGGAAAAGTAGCCCGCCTACAAAACGATCCACTTGCTCGGGGCTACTTTTCTGTGGCCCACCCTGTACAAGGTAACAGCCTCAACCATGTCCCAGCACGGTTTGCTCACATCTATCTGGTGAAAAAGGCTGAGTTTAAATCTGTTCACTGCAGACAGATTTCTGACTCAGAAGCTGGTCAGCAGCTTGAAGTTAGTCGAGATGCTTTACATAACAGCTGGCTGCAAACAACTCATTCTCTCCTGCCATCCACTATTCATGCATGCATGCATGCAGCAGAACTAGAAACAACTTTCCTCCTCAAAAAAGCTGTTTTAAACTGAGCATGCACCTACAGTAGGTGGTCCAAGTTCCACTGGATATTCTAACACCATATAGAGCCCCTTTCAGACATGTAGTGGAACCCTGAAACTCTCTAGACTTTAGCTGGGTGAGCCATATGCAAGAACGCAAATGTCCAGGTTAATCCGCCCGGACTTTACCCTGCCAGCTCCCTACCCTGCCAGCTCCCTAGTCCGCATAAGGTCCAAGTGAGCTGGAGTGAGGCCATGTGAGAAAACATCTGCATATAGTCCAGAGTATTCACACGGTCCTAGTGGGCATGTTGATGACATTCTATCACATGACTGGTGCAAAACTGGAAGAAAACAAACATATGATGGTCAAGAAAGACCATCATTTACAATGAAGACACCAACAAAAAAATCAAACTGGAAACCCAATGACACTCAGGAACTTCTGTTAAGAGCCGGCACCAGAATTATCAAACAAATACAAGGAACAGATTACAAACTGGCTATGCAACCGTGTCCCACATGTTCTACCCAGACATGCCCCCTGTGCATAAAATCAAATGAAGTATTTCCAACAGGTGAGAATGCATCTGAAAACGGACTTTCTTCTGCTGTGTGCTACATGTGTAAAAGGGAAAGTCAGGAGAAAGTCCAGACCAAATTCCGCAGACATAGTCCGGAGTTCATGTGCGAAAACGGCTTATGACTGGGGAAAAAATATTCAGTAGTCCTTTAATTCACAGGCTGTTAACCAGGTTGTAATATGAAGAGATTGCTAGGAAATAGACAAAAATGATGTTATAGTCGTTTATGAATAACCAGAAATTACTGGGAAATACCACCTAACTCATATGTCCATTTTTCTTTGGCTATTTCTAAATATTTCTATGTAGTTAAATGCCTGCAAATGAAAGGGTTACCAAATATTCAATACCTGCATGATAAAGAGAAAAACCTTATACATGGAAACAGTTTGGAGAAACACAGGCATGCACTGCCAAAGGCTAAACATGTAAAGGCACTGTCAAGTCTGGCTTAGTACATATATACAGTGCACTGCATGCAAAGGGAAAAGACTGGCTCTCTAGTCTGTTCACAGAGATAGAATTGTCCTAATGAAGGACACTGGGTCTGTGTTTTCATAACCACAGTCAGGTGATGGTGAAACTCTTTTAGATTACAGCTACAGAGGACTGTTGCATGGAATGTTTGCAATTTTTCTGCACACTGCTGAGCTGATCACAATCACCTAAGAATGATTAAGTGTGAGCAGCTTGACAAATACATGATCTGAAACCACACCAAGCACCCACGTCTGGCTGATATTCAGCACTGCAGCATTCAGACAGAAGCTATCCCCTGTTGGCTAAAGCAGAGTGCTATGACAAGTTCATCTAGGTGTGTCCCACCTTACAACAACCACCTCACTGCCTTATTATAGTAAAACTACTACTGTAATCCTTCAACAAAAATCTGTATATTAAAGATGAACGGCAGGTGCACTGAAGTTATTTAAGCAGCATGACTGTATAGTTGAAGGTAAGTGACATTCAGAATCGGCTTGCAATTAAAGGATAAATGTGCTGGTTGTCAGTGTTTCTGTAAATACTACAAATGCATGCTACATCATGCCTGAAGAAAACATAACTCTGAATGACACAAAACATCACAGGGATCAGTTGATAGCTCTGGCAGGACAGGGTGAAGAGACGTGTAAACTAAAAGATAAAGCTAATGTTGTCCTAAAGTGTCTCTAGTGAGGGAAACATTCCCTTCTAGTGTTTCCCTGGTGCTTATTCACAAACTCCCTGCTCTGTGCGACTGAACATGTTACAAAGGACAACTGAAAGAGGCTTTAAAATAAGCTGGGGGGAAAAAACCTCAAATATAAATCTGGGAATGCAACAATATTACA